GTCCTGCAGACGGCTGATTACACAGGGACGCAGTCAGTAATCCACCCGGTGGCAGCAGCTTATGTCCCCCACCGTCTCAGTCTATTTCACACTCTCTTCTTGGCCTGAGAATTGAAGAGGACACCCTTGAAAGGTTTTCTGAAACTTGATACCTACGAAAAAAGAAAAAAATTCCCCTCCCCTTGCAGGAGCGTGATGTCTCCCCCTTGTTTTTTCACCAACTTTAATGCTGTGGCTGATTGGGGCATGGGTCTGGCTGCGACTCATCTCAACCTCAGGTGTTTTAGAAATGGACAGCATGTCTGTTTTAAAGCAAAACAGCAGTCTCTGAGCTCAGAGATGGGGACCACGCTGGAGCTAACAGGAAGGAGTAGTGGGGGGTCTTGCATGCTCTGTTGAAGGGGGACAGCTTTCAGAGAAGTGGAGAAGGCATCTCTGTTAGAGATGATTTGCAGCTAGTGAGGGGTGGAGGGGAAGATGGTGGCCAGCCACGGTGATGCAGCGCTGAGGGGATGGACTGAGTCGCTGCCAGCTTTGGGGGAGTGGGGTGTTCTTCATTGGGGGGGGGCGCTGCTTGGCTGGTCGGGGATCATCCGGGCTTTTGCCCACTCTCCTTTGTTACTCAGCTTAGTGGTCATTTCACAAAGGATCATTTCCTCCCAGGGAGGGAGGAAGGGAAATAAAGATGCATGTCCAGGCAGAGGGGCAGACAGTGGCATTCAGGTGGACTTGTCCCCCCTTCGCTGTGAGAGCAGCTCATGGGGTTTGGCANGAGGGGGGAGTTCTGCAACCTAGTGGTGTTGGGGCTGGTTATTTAGCTCAGTCGGTTAGAGCGCAGCCTTATAACTCCGAGATCACGGGTTCGGATCCCAGTATTAGCCAGCTGCCGAAAAAAAAAATAGATCCTAGAGATGCGACCTTGCTTGGGGATGAGGAGGGACATATGCAGCCTGCCGTACCCTGTACCCTGCAGGAGGGACCTGAAGAGTGAATTCCCTCCCTCCTCAATCTCCTCCATGCCCACAGCTGAGAGCAGGTGGAGAGGGTGGAGAGGGGCAGGGAGGTGACCACCCAGGGTCCCATCCTTCATGCAGCCAGCTAGGGAAAGCTTCACTTTCACAGGATTCTTTTTTATGAACATTAGTGGAGTTCTGAAGCTTTGGTCAGCAGAATTAGGTGTTGCTTTGTTCTGGTAGTTGTGTATGTTGAAGCTGTTGTTTCAAAAGACGACCCCCAGGTTCCATTGCCCCACCCA